AATAAAAATTTTATTCTTGAACCTAAAGTTCTGGGTATTCCAATATTAACTCTCTACATATTTTTCAAATTCTACTTTAAAATATATTCATCATGAACCTGGTAACTTATTATAGTACATGTCTTGGTAAACTTCTTGATTTTCATTACTATAAAATTGAACATAATAGTAATTTTTAAATTCAAAAGTATATTCTTTAATTTTATACATATCACATCTTGTTAAATTTATTAATTTTATTCTAGCACTATCTTTTTCTCTTATTGGTTCTTCTTCAGCATTTCTTATCCAATTTTCTCCTAAAAATTCATTTGAAATATATTCTACTAATTTTTCTATACCTTTTCCATCTGACTTGATTATTTCTGTTTGTACATTTCTTTTTATTAATGTTTTTGTATCATTACTTATTTCTTCCCACCAATTTCTAACATCTCCTTCAAAGGATGCTATTAAGAAATCTATTATTCTTTCAATATTTTTCCATGTGTCATCTTTGTTATATAAAAAGAATAATATCATTGAATTTGCCCAAATCAGTAAGACTTTTTGAGTATCTATTTTATAGTCTAAATCTAGTTTTGTTCCTCCATGATTAATTGGTTTATCATAATTATCATTTAATTCAAACCTATCTTTATATTTATTTTCTTTAGGTGGTTGTCTATCTTTTACTTTATCATAGAATTGTCTATATGATTTATTATATGAGTGATGCTACATTTACAGGGGCTTGGTTCACAGGCCCCTGTCAGGGAAGACACAAGGTGGGCCCCTCCATACAGTGAGGGCCTTGTAAAGCCCTTGTGAAAGAATGTCATGTATGTCTGAGATAACTGTTATTATATAGAGGTGCATAACTTTCATCTGTATCATATAATTTCTGTCTAGAAGTTCTTGCTAGATTAGGTTCTCCTCTAGTATTCATTAAAACTTGGTATTCACTTATATTAGTTAAACTTAATTGATCAAAATTTTCTATTAACAAATCTAATTCTTCACTCATCTTCCTTTTCTTCTACTTTTAATTTTCCTAATAATTTTTCTCTAGATTCTTCTTCATCTTCTAATATTTTTTGTAATATATTCTTTCTAAATTCATCATCCATACTTCATGTTTCTATTACTATATTTTTTTTTCTATATGTTTTTTTTTATCTATTTTTTTATCTTTATTTTTATTATTTTCTTTTCATTCTCTAATTTCAATTTTTAGTATATTTATATCGCTTCTTGTTTCTTTTATTTTATTTCTTAAATATTGTACATCATTTATTAATATTTTTATTAATGACTTTAATTCTTCCATATATTCATTTATTGACATCTTAATTTTTTCTTATTTCTAACTCATAGGTTAATTTGCATATTTTATCTTCTTTTTTATTTATTATTTTTCCAAATTTTCTCTCAGCTGTATTTGATCTATTAATTCTTCTTTTACTATAATAAAATATTTGCTCTCAAGTTTTAATTTTTCACATCTTAATTTTATTAATTGTTTATTATTTGATATTCTCATTCTTTCTGGTATTAACATTATATTTCGTATTTCCTCTTGTATTTTTTTCATTTTTATATGTAGTTTATTTAATTTTAAATGTGTATTATTACTTGTACTCATACTTTTCTTTATAATATAAATTATTTTATTTATCTTCATATATATATATATATATATATATTATATAACTACCTTTTTCTTCTTTTAAACACTATTAATTATCTATTTTTCTTATTTTAATTTTCATGATCTCTATGACTCTGATACCAATAAATGGGGTGCTACTTAGAGTGAACAAAAATCAAATAAATTGGTAATCTATTAAAACTCATGCAATATTTAATTTTTTAACGACTAAAATGAAATATTTCTATATTTCATTAACTTATTATGTAATATTATAAAGGGGGTATTTTGGGTATCAAAATTAGCCAAATGCTATTTTGGAAAAATGGCCTTTCTATTTGGGTCATTTCCATGTATTTCCCTAGAAAATTTGAGAAAATGTAATAAAATATGGAGTTGTATAATTGATTTGTATTCTATTAGAAAATTACTTTATTTTTTTGCTAAAAACTTCAGGAAAATATACACGACTTCTTTTAATTGTTCATGTGCTTGCAAGAAACTTGCTTCTTTTGGCCGTTCTTGATGTCTTAAGTCACGATCTGAAGACTTCTTGAATGTGTCGACTACGTCGCTTGTCAAAAATGAAAATCATATATTAGAACATTATGTAAAACACATGTTACTTGTAGTTAATTATAAATAAGTTTTCAATTCCTTGTAATATATATGGCAACACTAACTTCATGGTGATTTAAATTATTATAATAATTACAATCATTGAAATTTTCTATCGATGACTTGAAAAATGGTTAACAATGACATTTATTAAATTAACATTATATTAAAAGTTCAATAAATTAACATTTGTTACATAATTATATTAAATTAATCAAAATATTTTTCTTGATACAAGAGGTGTAGCTTCTTCAAACAAGTAATGCCTTCTATTCGTTTTTCAATTATTTTCTCAAAACCCACTTTGCTTCATCTTATATAAAAATACAATTGGTTGGATAAATGTCATTTGCGGTCACCGAACTTTTAGCAAAATTTCAATTGTCACTAAACTTTATTTTTTTCTCAATTAGGTCATTAAACTTAAATTTAGTTTCAATTATGTCAATATTGAACTTCAACTCCAAATTTGAATATAATCATTTTGTCTACTAATGTCTTTCGAATTGATGAAAATTACTTAATTGATTATCTACGGAAATGAATCTTTCACGTATTCGCCACGTGACATGGCAACTTATTACCAAATCAAATCATACATGTGTTAAAGTAAAATAATATACACTTCACCTTTTTAGTATAAAGACATTGCTATAAACTTAATAACGCTATTTTAGTATTTAGGTATCACGTACCAATTATGCGAAACATCAATTATGTTATGTCAGCCAAGTTAGATTCTTATATCAATTTGAATTGTCGAAAAATAAAATAGCAGTGAGAATAATGCTTGAGGTACATAATGAACACTATAATGGCCACATGGGCATTATGGACACCATTATGGTGTCCATTATGTTCAAGAAGAATAATTCTAGAAGTGAAATTTGTAACTAAATTGAAAGTCAGTGAATGGTATCCATTATGTTCAAGAAAAATAATCCTAGTAGTGAAATTTGTAACTAAATTGAAAGTCAGTGAGTTAGTGGCCCTAATGAGGCAAAGAAAAGTTTATCGATCCAATTAAAACTTATTTATATTTGGTTACTTATAATCCCAATTCTTGATTCATAGTGGTGAAATTTGAAACTCAATTGAAAGCCAGTGACCCTAATGAGACAAAGAAAAGTTTAATGATCCAATTCAAACGTGCCTATATTTGGTTACTTATAATCCCAATTCTTGATTATAACGAATGAGTTATTCGCGGAAAAAGTATAGTATCGTACAAACGAAAAAATCTATGCATTCCCTATATTCGGTGGCATATTCCCGCCAGTTTTACACTAAAGTATCACACGCTGCTGCCACGTTGCTATCTTCCATATGGGACCCACCCGCCACCAGCTTCATAAGAACTTAAGAACCGCATTCAGAAAATTATTTTCTCTGATTTTAATTGTATATATGTGCAGGGTTTTTGAGTAGATTTTGTTTCCTCTACAGTGCAATGTCAAAGACTTTGGATCGAATTTCAAGCCCTTGTGAGTATATTGTTCTATTTTTTAGTGATTATTTGAAGTGGATTAATTGTATACTTTTTGTTTCTATTTTGGGTTTTGCATCTTTTACTTTTGAAGGAAATTAAAACATGTTTGAGTAACTCTTTTTTTTTTTTTTTTTTTTCCCTTAATTAAAGAAAGTAAGTCTTTTTCAAATAGATCCATGATTTCATGTAAACAAGTACTCATGCTTTCACCAGTTAAAAGATTATTTATTTAAAAAAAAAAAAAAATCACTTTTGCTTCTTTTAAGTAAATCTTCTTATACTACATATTTTGAGATGAGTTCAACTCAATTTTTATGAATTCTATGTTGTGCAATGAAATTGGCTGCCTTATATTTTTGGGGAAAGTATTTATTATTTTTTCTATTTTCTATTTTTTATTTTTGTAAAAAGAGGATGTGTTTCTGCACTGGGAATTGAGATTTGATGACATTGTATGTGAAGAGTAATTGGGCTTTGTGTTATCATTTAGAGTATATTAAGTGCATGTTTAATACGTGGTATTAGATTGTAATAGACAGCCTAATGAACAAGGTTTTTTTATTTTGTTTCTCTTCTTTAATGTTCTATTCATTACTCCCTTAGAGAAATGACATAATTGTATATTGTTTAAGGAAATTCGTGAATGGAAAGGATATTGTCTTGGTAAATTTCTTTTGAGATGTAGTATATATAGATTCTTGCAAATATCTTTGTTGGGTTGAAAGTAAGATTAATTTCTATAATTGTGAAGATGTTCATGGTTACGAATTTATTTCATTAGTATGTTTCAAACTTCGTTCAATTTGTAGGAAATCGTGACTTGAGTTTGGTCTTTTAGTTATTAATACCTATTTTTTTGGTCTTTTTTTTATTAATGCCTATTTTTTTTTTTCAATAATATTGATTTTGATGGAGATGAAGAGTTGAACAAAATAAATTGCCTAATGTGGGTGAAAAGGAATGAAAACGACTTCGATTCCACGCTGATTGTGAGAAGAAAGTATTGTGATTCTTTGATTCTTTGATCATGAATGAGGAGACATCGTTCCCTCTAAACTCACTCATTATTTTTATTTTTATTTTTATTAAGGGATTGGGTTGGGGGAGGGGTTGGAGTTGGTTTACAATAGATGAATTGAGGCTCTATTTATAGTAAAAATTTGGCCAACCCTCATTAATTGCATCACGTCTATTGTCATCAGAAATTGCAAATGTTGGGTGCCTTTATCTGTACATAATTTTGGTGAATTAATACCTAAGTCAAACAAAATGGCTGTATTCTTTTGTACATATTGCGTCTAAGAAGGGAAAACTTCAATCTTTCATTTTTCATCTTTTTTTCGAAGTATATTTTTTGCCATTAAGATCTCCGGCCATATCTAAATCGGTATATCCCTCCAAGATTGGATTGGTTCTCCCGTAGCACAAAAATGTCTTCGATGTACCCTTGAGATACATGAGAATCTACTTAACTGCTTCCCAATGTTCCTTTCTAGGATTACGGAGAAAAAGGCTCACCGTGCTCTCTGCATGAGCTATATCTAGCTTGGTACATGCCAGAGCATATATTAAGCTTCCGACTGTTGAAGAATAGGTACTAATGACATTTCCTCTATCTCCTTTTGGGTTCTATGGAAGAAACTAGAGCTACACAGAGACCTAAGAAGCTTGGATGGTTATCAAATAACAATTGCTTTAGATGAGATTGGAGGGGGAGAATTGACATGTCCAGCCTCCATTTTTTTACTTATTTCTTGATTTTTGTCAAAGGACGAAAAATGAAACAAGTTTTTTGGAATGAAGCTAGTAGACTTTGTTGAAAAATTGAAAAGAGAAGGGAAACGCCAGCAACGACCTTTTTCTTGACAATAGAAAAGGTAGAAAAATGAAAGATTAAATTTTTCCCTTCTCAGCCGCAATATGCTCGGAAGAAGGCAGCTAATTTATTTGACTTTGGCCTTATTTGAACAAAATTACATACCGAGAAAAGCAACCAACTTTTGCAATTTTTGTTGATAATGGATATTATGCAATTAATGAAGGATGGGCAAATTGTTATTTTCTATAGAGCCTTATCATTGTAAACCATCCTCAAAATGAAAAGAAAGAGGGAGTTTAGAGAGAATGAGGCTTTTTTTTTTTTTTTTTAAATATTTTAAAAAGAGTTTAATTCTCTGTAATTTCTATTTAGTAAGAAATAGAGTAATTTTTCTTCTTATAATTCCTCTTCCGTGACCCCAAAAAAAAAAAAAAGTTGACAATAGAAAGTAGCTTGCTAGTGGCTTTTTGTTTGCTGGAAAAAAGACAAAAGGAAGAATAGAAAATTTAATTAATATCGTGTCCCACATTTGTCGGGAACCAAAAATTTTATGGGAGGGTTTATTTGCACCGAACTGGCAATTGGGTTCAACCCTTCAATTGTGTAGGGCCTCCACCCACACAAAACATGGGTGCCCCTTCAGGCCCAAACCTGATTGCAGTTTAGTGTAAATAAACCCATTCCATTTCTATTTCCCTTCTTTCTATTTTCTTTCCAACAAATGTAGACCTCTTTTTATAAGAAACACTAGAAAGTTACTTTCGTTTCTCAATCGATGTGAGATAGATAGCTGTTTAACTCAGTTCCCCTTCATGAAAGGCAGTTTCCTTCTCTCAACTCTTTATCTATGACACCACTATTACGATTAGTTATATTAATAAATAAATACTAAAGAATGGTTATGAAAAAAATCATGTTCCAAATCCCACAAAAGTAGCAACTTTTTCATCAAAGTGGAGTATTATTGATGGAGTCATAAAAGTGATTCACTTGTCACAAATATTATACATCCAAACTCAAAAATGGGTACTTCTCATCGTGTGTTTATTTAATCGCTTCTGGTCATGCCAAATAGATACTGATTCTCTGGGCAGTGTAATGTGAAGTCCTGCCAGAATTTATTTCATTTGATGGGTTTTGGTAGATGAAATGATAAAAGGGCATGTTGCTTAAAGGGTTTAATGTTTAGTAGTCTCATCGAGTGATAAAAATGTTATTTTCACCAGGTTGTGGTACTGATGAAAGAAACAAACAGAAATCAGATGCTGAAATTTCAGAGGGAAGAACAAGATTTGGTATTTTCAGAAGGGCTAAAAATGTATCCAGCAAACTAAGAAATTCTATAAGAAATAAGCTGAGGAGGAGGAATGATTTTGGAGTTTCTGAAATTGAGGATGTTTCTGAAATAGAGGAGCTGAAGGCTGTGGATGCTTTTCGACAAGCATTGATCTCGGACAATTTGCTTCCTGCAAGATTTGATGATCATCATATAATGTTAAGGTGATTTTTCTCTGTGCACATGCTTTTATATTTAGATTAGAACTCTGATTAGATGAAGTGTGTTTTTCCATTCCTGTGAATGTTACTTTGATGGATCTGTCTATGGCAGTGTAGAAGATGGTTTATGTGTGGCAATGTTGATAAAATTAATGTAAAATTTCCTTCGTCAGTATCTATTTCTTCAAGGTATTCATCAGCATTCTTGATATTCGCTTTGGCGTTGATGAAATGCTTCGAAGTTATGGGTCTTATGGAATGTGTGGATCATAAGTTGATATAAAGTAGTGGGTCCCACAAAATGTATGGATAAAAAGTATGTTTCATCAGCTTAAAAAAAAATTTAAGCTTTGCCATGCATGAATATAGTAGATTACTATTAGATCTTTTCAGGAAATGACAGATCACTGCTTAGATTAGTGATACTTCGTTAGATCCCGAACAGCAAAATAATGAAAGGAATGATAAATTCTATTGAATTAATGAAGCAGTAACAGTGGCGGATGAAAATTATGAGCAAGGCAGGTTTCGAGAGTTTCCCCTCTCCTACTGACTCAGACTTTTCCTACTTTCTAAATGCCTTTTAGACTCAACTATCCACTATTTATTGACCCCTACTCTAACAGCCTTGACATCATCATAACCAATTCTTTGCTTATCAAATCTAACGACTAATATTTCCTCCAACCCCCCTTACATCCCTTTTTTGTGACGCCTCTGGTATGTTAACCGTATGGGAGGTTTATCAATACCCCCCGCCAATGAAAGCACCTTGTCCCCAAGGTGGAACTCGGGGAATTGAGAACTGATCAGTTCAAAGGGTTCCCACGAAGCCTCAAAGGATGGAAGACCTTGCCACTGAATTAATACTTCTGGTTCTGTAAAGTTTGGGTCGTTTGCTGGTCTGATTCCCAATACTGCCTCTGGTTGCACCTTCCACTCTAGGTCAGTACTGAGATGTGTGGGAAGGGGTTGGACAGGGGTGGTGGAGCCCACGGCCTTTCGCAATTGGGAGACATGAAACACCAGATGAATGTTTGCCTCGGCTGGAAGCTGGAGTTTGTAAGCCACAACTCCTATCTTCTGGAAAACGGTGTAAGGACCAAAGAATCTAGGGGAAATTTTTTCCGCCAAGGATCTCTGGCGGTAAGGTTGAAGTTTCAGCTAGACCAAATCCCCTACTTGGAACTGTACCTCTCTTCTTCCTGTATCTGCTGTTTTCTTCATCCTAGATTAAGCTTTTTCCAGTTGAAGTTTCAACACATTAATCATCTAATCTCGTTGCTGTAATTGTTGATCCAAGTCAGCCAAAAGGAGTGTGCTGAGTCCCATAACGGATGAGAGGAGGTGGATCCCTTCCATAAACGACCTTAAAGGGAATACTCTTGGTGGAGGTATGAAAAGAGGAGTTAAACCAAAATTCTGCCCACGGAATCCAGTCAGACCAAGAGCGAGGATGGCCAATATCAAAACACTGTAGATATGTCTCCAAACATCGATTTACCACCTTCGTTTGCCCCTTGGTTTGTGGATGATATGCTATGCTTCTACGAAGATGAGTGCCCTGTAGACGGAAGAGTTCAGACCAGAATGAGCTGAGAAAAACCTTATCTCTGTCCGACACTATAGAATGAGGAAATCCATGAAGCCTGACCACACCCTGAATGAATACTTCAGCCACTGTTTTAGCAGAAAATGGGTGCTTCAAGGTCATAAAATGAGCGTATTTACTCAACCGTCCACAACAACCAAGGTCACATCCCACCCTCGTGATTTGTGCAATCCTTCAATAAAATCCATTGCCACATCTTCCCAGGTAGCTTCTGGTATGGGTAATGGCTGCAAAAGCCCTGCTGGCGAAAGGGCTAAATACTTGTTTTGCTGGCAGACGGAGCAAGATTCTACAAACTTCTGAATGTCTTTTTTCATCCCAGCCCAAAATAATTCTCCTGCTATCCGTTTGTATGTCTTCAGGACCCCTGAGTGGCCACCCACCTTACTGCAGTGAAATTCCTGAAGAAACTTTGGAATTAGGCTTGAGTTGCGTGGCAAGACCAGCCTTTGTTTGTACAAGAGGCACCCATCTGTCACAGACCACCCTTCAACAGCCAAAGGGTCCCTAAGTAATGATTCACGAATGCTTGCCAACTTCTCATCCGCCCCTATCTGATTTTGCAACTCACCCAAATCTGACACCGTTGACACCGTCATAACTGTTAGTTCTGCTGCAATTGGAAATCTGGACAGTGCATCCGCTGCCTTGTTCTCGAGGCCGGGTCGATATTGGATTTCAAAGTCGTAACCGAGCAGCTTAGTGATCCACCTTTGATGATCTGTGCATATCAACCGCTGTTCTAGCAAATATTTCAAACTCTTTTGATTGGTGCTCACTATAAAATGCCGCCCCAAGAGGTAATGCCTCCATTTCTAGATTGCTAGCACCACAGCCATGAGTTCCCGCTCATATATGGATTTCAGTCCGGCCCTTGCTGATAATGCCTGGCTAAACAAAGCAATAGGTCTTTGTTGCTGGGACAACACTGCCCCTAACCCAACTCCTGAAGCATCAGTCTTAACCACCAATGGAAGGGAAAAATTGGGCAATGCCAGGACTGGTATCCTTGTCATAGCGTCCTTCAACTACTGAAAAGCCATCTCGGCTTCAGAGTTCCAGTGGAAACTGTCCTTTTTTAGTTGCCTTGTAAGGGGTTCCGCTAACTTCCCATATCCTTCCACAAATCTTCGATAATACCCCGTTAATCCAAAGAACCCTCTTAATTCTTTAAGGCTCTTAGGTACGGGCCAAGACTGCATTACTTGAATTTTCTTAGGGTCCTGCAACCCCCTGCGAACTGATCACATGTCCCAAGTATTCCAACGTGGCACAAGCAAATTCACATTTCTTCCGGTTTGCGTATAGCTTCTGTTCTTGCAAAACTTCTAACACTCTTCTTAAGTGTCTACAATGTTCTTCCAGAGTACGACTGTAAACCAAGATGTCATCAAAAAAACCAACACCCCCTTACGGAGCAAGCCTTTGAACACCTTATTCATTAAAGACTGGAAGGTTCCAGGTGCGTTCGTAAGCCCAAACGGCATTACTAAGAACTCATAGTGTCCCTCATGTGTCCTGAAAGCTGACTTGTATTCATCTCTTGCCTTGAGCCTTATTTGATGATACCTGGATTTTAGATCAAACTTGGAGAAAATGGTGGCTCCATTAAGCTCATCTAGCAACTCATCAATAGCTGGTATTGGAAAGCGGTCCAGATTGGTGGCTCGATTTAATGCTCTATAATCCACGTAGAAACTCCAACCACCATCTTTCTTCTTCACCAGCAACACTGGGCTAGAAAAAGGGCTCATACTTGTCTGTATGATACCTGCCTCCAGCATCTCCGACACCAACTTCTCAATTTTGGTTTTCTGTGCATGGGGATATCTACAGGGTCTTACATTAATAGGTTCACTCCCAGCCTTTAGCGTGATGGCATGCTCGTGATCCCGTAAGGGTGGCAATCCCACAGGAGCCTCAAAAACAGCTTTAAACTCTCTAATTATCTCCAGTACCGGCTGAGGAATGTCAGGTTCAGCCTGCTGTTCCTTTACTTGCACTGAACACAGCTCCACAACCACTCCTTCTCTTTCTTTCTGCAAGGTTTTGATCATCGACTTTAAAGAAACCAATGATTTGCTCAGCTCCTCCTCCCCTTTCAAAATGACCGTGTTGTTCCCCATATGTATCTTCATCTCTAATGTTTTCCAATTAATTTGTACTGTTCTCAAGGTACTAAGCCACTGTATTCCCAAGATTATGTCCGAGCTATCCATCTCGATTGGTAAATAATCCTGTACAACCACTAACGATTGCAGCTGCAACACCACTCCTCTGCATTTTCCTATTCCGTTGACAGCCCTTCCCGTGCCCACCTGGACCTTATATCCATCTGTTTCTGTTACTGGTAGCTTAAGTTCCTTAATCAACTCCCATGACATGAAATTGTGAGTGGTTCCTGAATCAATTAAGACTACCACATCCTGCCCTTTTACAGTTCCTCTGACCTTCATAGTCTTAGGGGAAGTCAACCCCACAACTGAATTCATCGATAGTTCTACCCCTTCCAAGTCGTTACAATCAGCTGTTTCTTCCATTAATTCCCTTCCTTCTTTCTCTTTCTCGGATTCATCTTCCACTAATAGCACCTGTAGTTCCTTATTACGACATCGATGCCCGATGCTATATTTCTCATCACAACGGAAACACAGGCCCTTCTCCTTCTTTGATTGGATCTCGGCCTAGGTCAATTTTTTGAACCCAAGCGTGGCACCCGGCGAAGTTGTTCCTCCCTTTTCTGATAGTCTAGTTCTTCTCAGCGTGTGCCAAGGGACGGTTCACTGTTCGAATCGCGACACGGTAGGAGCAATTACATTTCTCAACTGTGGCCGTTCCTTCTCCTTAATTTTGCTAATTTGAATATTCCTATCTTCCGCTCTTTGTGCCATATCCATGATTTGAGATAATCCTACCGGATTTGCCATTAGTACTTCAGCCTGCACTTCCTCATCCAACCCATTGATGAAGACTCCTTCCAGCGTATCCTCACTCACATTCTTCAAGGGGGCAGACATAATTTCGAATTTCTCCCTATACTCCGCCACCTTTCCTGTTTGCTTGATTGCCAAGAATCGTTGGTGCAGGGTGCCATATTGGGTGTCCCGAAACCTTTCCAGCAAACGTTGTTTCAGTTCCGACCAGCTACGTATGGGTCCCCTTCCGTCCTCCCATTGAAACTAGGACAAGGCACCCCCCCTCCATACAAACACTCGCAGCTACCACTCGTTCAGCATCTGAAAATCTGTTCATGCTAAAATACCTTTCAACCTGATATATCCAGGAGTCCGGATCCACTCCAGTGAACAGTGGTAATTCCAATTTACGATAGTTACCTTCGCCTGACTGGGTAGCTACCTTTTCTGGAATTATAGGCTCCGATTCAGCCGATTTCTCAAAGGTTGACGTCGATTTAACTCCACTTCCTTCCCCCGTCATAGCCGTGGAATCTAACGGTAGACCTTTAATCATCTTAGTTATGATCTGTAGTCCCTCGTTTAGTTCCTTCCTACCCATTGCGAGACTCGTTTCCAACTTATCATTCATTTTCCCCAGCTCCATTCCCAATTTCACGTTCAAATGTTTCAGGTCCCCTTTTAGCTTGACAACAGTCGCTCGCAAAGGAGAAATCTGCGTCACTGTCCTTTCCAATGCTTCAATCCTATTGCCCATTCGTGTAACCGGCATCCGGTTCCCAGGATTTTGGCTCTGATACCAAAAATGTTAGATCCCAAACAGCAAAATAATGGAAGGAATGATAAATTCTATTGAATTAATGAAGCAGTAACAATGGCGGAATGAAAATTACAAGCAAGGCAGGTTTCGAGAGCTGCCCCTCTCCTATTGACTCAGACTTTTCCTACTTTCTGAATGCCTTTTAGACTCAACTATCCACTATTTATTGACCCCTACTCTAACAGCCTTGACATCATCATAACCAATTCTTTGCTCATCAAATCTAACAACTGATATTCCCTCCAACCCCCCTTACATCCTTTTTTTGTGACGCCTCTGGTATGTTAACCGTATGGGAGGTTTATCATACTTCTTTCCTTCCCCTTCACAATTCAGCTTTATATTATTCTAATTAACATTCTGTTTATATTCAAATTTGGTGTTATTTATCCTCAAATTGTAAAAAATTTAATTTATTCAGCAATAAAAAATTTGTAGATTTCTAAAAGCAAGGAAGTTCAATATTGAAAAGGCAAAGTGCATGTGGGCAGACATGCTTCAGTGGAGGAAGGACTTTGGTGCAGACACAATCATGGAGGTAATCTTTGATGCACTCTTTAGCTATCATTTGTTTGATGTATTTGTCTAATATGTTACTTGTCATTTTGTGAACACTTTTTGGTGCTTTCGAGGTTTTATGTTGAGTACATGGGTGGAATCAGACTTTTTGTATTGTGGAATTAAAAATTAAAATGCAATTTTTCTTTTTTTAAACAACATAAAATTAATGAAAATAAGTTAGAGGTTATTTATTTATTTTTTATTAAATTTTTTAAAGGATGGAAATTAGAATTTTCTCACCTATAATACCGCTACAGCAGAATCAAATGTACTACGGGTGCCTTAAGGACACTCGAGTGGAACTTAGACACTCCAAGGGTGGGAGGCTTCGGTAGTTTGCTCTCGAGCATCTTCTTTTGGCCTTCCCTGGCTCCCAAGGGCGGTTTAAAATAGTACAGACTATAGATTACATACTTCACATACTCTTACTCAATGCCATGCAACACAAGCCCCAAATCCAATTACAACACAAATTCCAATTATGAGAAAAAAATTTGGGTGAAAAAGGAGAAAAAATTAAAGGAAAAAGGATTGAAAATCAAACATAAATATTATAACCTTTAATTTCGAACATTTTATACCCGATTAAAGAATAGAGATTGAAGTTGGAGATTGGAGGAAGGTTTTTTGGTTTATTGAAGAATAGAGTAAACTATAATTTAGAAACTTGCACATTTAGGGGTAAACCGCAGCTACAGAATTTTTGAAATAAAAAAAAAAAGAAAAAAAAATCAAAAATCAAAAATTTTGTGTATCTCTTGACCACATACGCCATCGTTGAGTCTCTTGAGTCTCTCTAATTGTCCACAAGTCGGCAGCTTTTGAGTTTTGAGGCTTGACTTGTTATGCATATGCATTAGAAGAGCTTACATCTATAGAAGTATCCTTTCAATATTATGATGGACCGAGAGAGTGGTGGAATAAATAAATTCCTTGTGTATGAAGTGTTTAAATATCACACGAACTAGTTATGCTTTCTGCCTTGTAAACTATTAGTTTTCTTTTTCTTTGATGTTGAAAAAACTTGACTGTGAGCCGCATCATTGGTTTTCTTTCTATTTTATTCAATATTTGTTTGTTTCTGTGCTTGTATTATATTCAGGACTTTGACTTCACAGAATTGAAGGAAGTTCAAGAATACTATCCACAGGGATATCATGGCGTTGATAAGGATGGAAGACCAGTTTACATTGAAAGATTAGGGAAGATCGACATTGACAAGTTGATGCAAGTGACTACTCTCGACCGATTTGTAAAATACCAAGTCCAGGAGTTCGAAAAGACTCTTGCTGTCAGGTTTCCTATATGTTCCGCTGCTGCAAACAGGCATATAGATACAAGCATGACAATCTTAGATGTCCAAGGATTGGTACACTAATTTCTTCTACTCATAACTTCTATAAACCACTCGGCATCTTAGACAAAGATTCTACTTAATTTAACATTTTTTCATCGTTCATATTCAGGGTATAATGAGTTTGACTGGACCCGTTGTAGAATTCATTAAGGTTCTTCAAAAGATTGATAATGACAATTATCCTGAAGTATGTCTTAGCAATTACCCATCTCTATATCAATAATGTCCTAAATATCCATAAAATTCGTCCCTTTGACAATTCCACAGACACTTGGCCGAATGTATATCATCAATGCTGGTCCTGCCTTCCAGTTGATCTGGACTATAGTGAAGCCTTTACTCGACCCAGATACAACTTCCAAGATTCAGGTATATTATATGAAGTTCATTCAAGTAATTAAACTGCATAAATTACAATTTTAGTCTAAATAGACCAATGATTTTCAAACTCTCTCTAGGTGTTTGGCAGTAATTATCAAAGCGAATTACTGGAAGCCATTGATGCAAGGTAACTGGGCTTTTGATTCTAGCTTGCTTGGAATTCAAGCGATTTTACAGTCCAATAAAATCATTGTCATGTTAGTCAGCTACCAGGTTTTCTAGGTGGGAGCTGCACATGTTCAAATGAGGGAGGTTGTTTGAAGTCTGATAAGGGGCCGTGGGAGGACCAAAATTTATTGAAGGTGATAAAAGTGCTGTATGTAACTTCGCCACATGCTGGTCGAGTTTTATGGTTTTGTACAGCTTTTTCTTCATGGTTTTTTCAAGTTTTGCGTATCCTAAAGTTAAATCTTCTTTATGTAGATAAGTTTAAATGGAGAAGTACACACTATGCAGAAAGTAACCATATCATATAGCGAAGAATATTAGCGTGAAGGTGATTTACATTTGATTTGTTCTATAGGAGTAGGAGTCGTAGGACTAGCTTATCTCAATTCCCTTCTTTTATTTGATAATTTTTAATTTGTTGATGATACGTCGCTTTTTAACAATGCCAGAATTTGTTGTTTGTTGAATCCAATAAAACAGGGGAAGCTGAAGAGCTTTGTTGGTATACGTCTACGTATTTTGGGGTATGTTCATGGGGATTCTGAAATCAAGAATTATGCATGAGGGGTATTTGGCTTACATTGCACTCGAGAATCCAATTCAATTTGTTTCATTTTAGTTTGAAATCTTATTCCAATTCGGATGTAACGGATTCAATTTGCTTTAGAATTTAGAAATATATGACGTTTTTTCCCCCCTCTGTAATTATTATTTATTGATTTTTCGAACAATTATGCTACCCGCACAGACCTTTTTGCACAGGGTGTGTACAGGTGCACACACATGGATCCACATGTGGGGTTCATCCCCATGTGAGAGCCCCTGTATAGCCATGTGCAAAGGGGCTTGTGCAGGGGCTTAATTCTTTTTTGAATATGACACCTTGTTTGAAGTAGCTGAGATACTACATCTAGTGGTGAAGGGCTCTTGGAAAAAGGAAGATAATGAAATCGAAATAGTAGCTGACATATGCAGTGAGTACTTTCAAGCCTCACTTTCTAAGGCTTGAAAAGAGTTTGATTTTCAATACTTAACCATCTACCTATTATGTTTAGTATTAGTAGGGGCTTGTGAGATGTTCTAAATGAATTGGGCCTCAACAGTGTTATTGTCAAGAATTAAAAATAAATAAATAAATAAATTTTTGTTGCGTTACTACTGTAAGATTTTAGATGATATGTAATTTAAGATGGTGCTCGAGTAAACAAAGGTTCTATGAAATATAAGTAAATATAATTTTTATTATTTTAACCATTCAAACTTTTTAAGTTATGTATTTATTATGTATAAAGGAAAAATCAATCAAGAATGAAGATTGCCTGTGTTTCAAGTTTTTTAAAAAGCTTGCACTGTCCGGTTTACTCTTAACAAATCTAGTTACTATAAGAATTACTATAAAATTTCAATTTGAATTCTAAGGATGTGTTAAAATAGAATCAAGTAAATGTATTTCTGCCCTGTTAAGCAACTTATCCATTTATCCAAAACTCAAAATATTAGACTTCACATTAGGTATATAGCAAATTAGAGAAATCAAAATATGACTTCCATTTTTAGCACGAATAAGAACATTACCTTTGCCTTTTATTGGAACTTTGATTTCCTCTCCAAAAACTATGTTGCCTTTTACTGATTCATTTATTGTTGAGAATAACTCTTTGTTGCCACACATGTAATTGGTGGCACCGGTGTTAAGGTGCCACTATTGTTTATCATTTTCTTCTTTGATTGTCAACAACAATAACAATTTTTCATTTTCGTTTGTTTCAACATAATTAACTCTCTCTTCATTATTGGTGGTGTCACTCCTACATTCGGAAACATAGTGACCATATTTATGACAAGTGTAACATTGAATATTGGACTTGTCATATCTTCTTCCACCACCGCTCTTGGAGCCATAGATCTAACGCCCTCATCCTCTCGATTGATTGCTTGATCCTTCATTATTTAGATTTTATTTTCCATCACTTCTTACATTACCATGACCATAATCTCCTCCGCGACCACGACCATGATCACGATCTCGACCATGAATTTGACTTCTTCCTTGAGATTGTTCTTGCTCTTTCTCTTTCTCTTGACCTCCCAAGGAGACATTCGTCTGGAGAACTTGAGCCACCAGTTCTCCTTTCTTCTTCAATCTTTCTTTATATGCTTGCAAGGACCCCATGAGTTGATCAAGGATCATGGTATCCAAGTTATTAGACTCTTTAATGGCAATACTAACAAACTCAAGTTTTGAGCCAAGTGATCTAAGAATTTTCTCGATGATATGACATTCTTCAATATTCTCCTCGTACCGCTTCATATGATTGACAGTGGAGGACACCCTAGTGAAATAGTCAAAGATAGAACTCGCCAAGAAGGAGTTGAAGGCAAACCTTCTTTAGTTTTTCAATTCCCTTGAAACCGTTCTCAATTATCTCCCAAGCTTCCTTAGCTTTTGTTAAGAAAGTAACTTTCTCAAACATGGCTTCATCTAAGCCCATGTGAATAAAAGAGAGAGTGTGTTGATCTAACTTGTGGTATCTTTGTAAGGCATTCCTTTGAGCTTGACTTAAAGCTACTTCATTCTCTGGTTCATCACAACCTTTCTTTACAACTTCCCATGCCTCTTGTGAGCCGAGCAACGCCTTCACGCGTATGCTCCAATGTCCATAATTTTCCTTTGTTAGTTTGGGAACAACAAAAGAAAATGAATTATTCATCTTTGAAATGACTCTGATACCACTTTGTTGGAAATAAAAATTATGGGAAGAAAGGCTAGAGAAATTTTTTTGAGAATTCTCAAAAAATATTTGTATTATATGGCTTGACTCTATAAAATGTCTCAAACACAAGGCCTTTTATAAGTACAAAGGATCCCAAATATGTTGAGACTAATTAATGACTTTTCCTACATACTATGAATAATAGGATACAAATAACCATTTGGATACATGAATATTAGATAAACTAATTCATGTATCAAATTTAATTTTTCATTGTTCATGAATCAAGTTTAATTTCTAATACCAATGACACGCACGTTTGGTGTTCTAGGAATTAATTTCGAGGTCTCAATGTAGTGCAGCCAGCTCCTTGTCCATGGCTGCTTTCTATCCAGGGTGTGCCAATGCAATTTTAATATTGTGAGGCTCACGAGGTATATTAGCAGATGTGATGGTGGTCAAGGCATAGTTAGGATTTGGTTTTACCACACTTAGTTTTGACAAAGTGACCATGGAGTGACCCAATGGTGGTGAAGGTTCAGGACTATGATGGGAAAGCTCGGGTGTTTCACTTACATTCCGTGGACCTAATTCTTGGGTAGACTCGTGAGACTCTTGTGACGGAATAGTTTTAGGAGAACCAGTGTTGTGACCGGACTCATGAAATTCATTTAAATAGTTTTCTCACTGGTCCGTGTCTCGATGGAGGGAGATTGCCGTGATAACTCAGTAGAACTGAAATTTTGGGATGAATTTCGTGGAGTACAGTGTCAATTGGCAGCAAGGATTGACATGGGGGTGTGGAAGAGTCCGAGTTTGTACCTGCAGAAAAAGAAATGTTAGTGTGTGGTAACCAAGAATCGAATATACTAATTATTCGTGGCTAATTTGATGTCATGCAAGGTTCATTAATAGGTTTATTTGGGAAAATTAACTCATCAAAGACTACATGACCAGAAATAATTTTTATTTTTATTTTTTTTACTTGATGGATGATAGCACTTATAAGCTTTTTGTTTTTCACTGTCGCCTACAAAAATGCATGGAAGTGTTTTTGGATCAAATTTGTGTTTTTGCGTATCCCAAGTGTAGGGAAAACACATTGATCCAAAGGCTCGGAGTGAGGAATAATCTGGATGTATCCCATGAAGTGCGAAGTATGGTGTTTCAAAGTTGAGAACAGATGATGGTAGACGATTCATAAGATATACAACTGTAGTGAAAGCTTCTACCCATAAAAATAAAGGTGCACCATAGTGAAATAACAGTCATTCCCAAATCGCTTATAGTCCTATGATGCCTCTCAACTATACCAGTTTGTTTAGGTGCCACACGATTATATAATGTGATTTAACCGTAAGTGCACAGCGTCAAGTTTTGTAATATAGTAAAAAATTTAAAAGTGTCGAACCCATGAGGATTGATATTCAAATTCCACTGAGTACTATAATTATTTCGATTTTCACTTTATTTAGACAAACCCAATTTTTAAATGATGTTTTTATGCTAACATAATTTAAATGGAATAAAGAATGCAAGTAAAGTGGGGCAATTTCTAAAAATCAAATCAAATTATGGATATCTAGGGATTGATTTCTCCATATTATCAACATCTTCTTAACCTCTATAGCCATTTCCATTGAATTTTTCCCAATTTATAGGCAAGAACCTAATTTAATTTTATTCGCTCTCTTGAGCGCCAATAAAACATATCTTTATATTTTAACCCCAATATCTCTATTCCGAATTAAACATATAAATATTATTAAAGCTCTTGGTTCTTGTTTTACCCCTCAAAGATTTGCACTTTCTCTCGAAACCTACAAATCTAGGTTATGTTGTTCCAGATCATGTCTAAATTTCCCTCTCTCGAGCGTCAAATTTAAAGCATCTGTTCATTCAATTGGTGATCAGGCAATTGAAAGTATTAAGCATAAAATAACACAAATAAATTCTGGAAACTAAAAGAAATAACTACATTAGAATCAAATAATGTCTCAAATAGGTTACATCAACCGTAGATCTACAAATTTAGTTCATACTTGAATCGATCGACATGCCAAAATACAAGATAAAGAGCATGGGAAAGAATAAATAAGGGTTCGGAAAAACTGATTTAAGCTGCTTGTTCTTCCCCAACTGGTTGTCATGCAATTCAATTTCTCCTCTTTCCCTCTTGAATGGATCTTCACTTTTGTACCCCTTTTTCGCTCCGAGAAAATCAAAGAAAACAGTCCTCAATTAGGTTTCATCTTGGTATTTATATTATCTCCGAGTTTTGGATGGTTAGGGAACATCTTGGGTCGAAAAATATCCAAAAATTTGGACTCTTCTGTGTTGCGAGATCCGGAGCCATGGCGCTAGCTATTCTACCACTTTCTCTTTACGCTGAGCGCCGTGGCACCCAATTTAGATGCCATGGCACCTAACAAATTGCTTCACGCTTGAATCGCTTATCTTCTAAGCTTCTTTTCCATTGCAATCCTTTTTTCTTATTTCCAATTCATGCCCCCATTTTACGATCACCATTTTAGATTCATCACAAGCTCCCAATTGTGGCATTTCTTCAAATGTTAATTGAGCTGCAAAACCACATGAACGCACACATCAAAACGTTCAAAAGTGCTAAGAACAAGCTAAAACTCGCGATGTTTAGGCGTTAGTTTAATGAGTGAATTACACTCATCAAACACCCCCAAAATTAGTTCTTTGATTTCAACCAATAATCAATAACTACAAAAAACAAACACAAATGTTGCCAAAGAATTCAAATGCATAATTTATTTGGACAACATGTTTTTACTGCTGTTGAAGCGCAAGATCGAGTTTATGAGCTACTTCAAAGCTATTTTGCAAAAGGTAGCTCCTTACCCACCCATTACAGATCATGTGTGTGTGTGTGTGAAGAATCAAATATAACACCAAACAACTTAGAAGTCAATTATCTCCTTTCTCCGCTCGTGGGATTCACATACCCCCAAACTTATTTTCTCTTTTCTTCCCAAAGTGTATCCTAAAGTTGATTTTCAATACTAATTTCTTACACCTCTAAAGTTTGGTTAAAATTTACTAATTGCAGTTCGACATATCGGTAAGTGTGGATTCTCTTATTTTTGACTGCTTCAACCTCCAAGAATAAACAAAGTTACTAACCCCTTGTCAAATGCCTACTCCTCTAAAATAGGACACTCTTTGTGCGATCGTCTCTCCCTTAAACTTTTTAGATGACCCCTGTAGCGAGTTTTCGACCGACGATTCCCAAGTCAGACGACTTTAGGGCATCAGGTTTTAAACCCTTACAGGCTTAATCACTCGAGTCATAAGGGCTACGAAGAGACGCTTTATGACGGGCCCTTTTTTTTGGCTATGATTAGTGCAATGCCCCTTATTAAACACCTATTCTAAAAAATTGGTCCATAACTAAAAGTGTTTACTCAATTCCCATCCCATTGGTCTCAGACAGTCCACACAAAATTTGGCACACACGGAATCCATAACCACGTCCATGCTTTCCTACAATAGTTTCCCCATCCAAACTATCTTAAGGTAGGTTAAGGGATGTGAATACTATTACACAAGTGGCTATTTGGATTCAGTTTCTAGGGTCATTCTTCTAGCCTAAATCTAAATATGAATCAACTCACTCTTGTTCGCCGCTATACTCAATTCACGTGCATAAATGTCACAATAATCTGCAGGGATAAGTAATACTTTAATTCAGGCAACTGACTCATTCATAATCCACAACCGATCCACATTCCAAATAAACTCATCATTGCTAATAATATTATCCAACTCACATAAGCATGCGAAATAAAATAATGCAAATTTTTATTTTAATTTTATTATATTATATTATTATTTTTTTCACACAAAACAAATTAACACGCACAGCATACTTGGAACATGAATGCAATACAACAAAAGCAGTGAAGAAAATGCTCGACCTAAATAAGTTAAAATAAGACCCCCCAAACTTAAACAACACATTACCCTCAATGTGAAAATGAAAGAAGGGGAAGAGAAATACCTTGGGAAAGACATAACTGTCTTCATTGCCATCAGGTGGAGCGGGAGAGTATAAATGAGGTGGAAACGGTGGCGGTGGAGGGAAAGTAAGCTCGGGGTGTGCAGATGCCATGACCGCCATGCAAGCATTCTAATACTGAAACAGATCATAGATGGTGGATTGTAGATGATTCATTTGTACTTACATGCCATTCTCCAATGTACTTCCTTCTCCATGTTGACAGGAGTGTCGATGCAACCATATTTGACTATATTTCTACAAAAATGAAAAGAAAGCGAAATTACTAAAGTTACCACGGAAGAAAAGGAAATGTCTAACTAAAGAAAGAAAATTTAGGGATAGAACTTGGGTTGCCTCCCAAGAAGCGCTTCTTTTACGTCTTTAGTTGGACGTGATGTGGTTCTTATTATAATGTGGTTCTTCGAGGGTAATTTCTTCTACATCTCGGTCTTTCTCTCCATAGTAATGCTTGAGGCATTGTCTGTTTGCCTGAAAAGTAGACTCATCCTTGCTCACTAACTCTATTGAACCATAAGGGAACACATTACGAATTACAAATGGTCCCGACCACCAGGGTTTAAGCTTGCCTGAAAAGAGTCTCAATCGAGAATTGAATAGAAGAGCTCGTTCTCCTGCCTTGAATTCCCTCCTTAGGATTTTCTTGTCATACCACATTTTTATCCACTCCTTGTATATTTTCGCATTTTCATATGCATCATTCCGAAATTCCTCTAATTCATCAAGCTACAACAAGCATTGTGGACCGGCCAATTTCATGTCCAAATTCAACTTTTTTATAGCCCAATAAGCTTTATGCTCCAATTCCACCAATAGGTGACAAGCTTTCCCAAATGCCAGACAGTGAGGTGACATTCCAATTGGACTTTTGAAGGTGGTTCGATATGCCCAAAGAGCATCATCTAGTTTGAGAGACCAGTCATTTTGGCTAGTATTTACTGTCTTTTCCAAAATCTATTTTATCTCTTTGTTAGACACCTCTGCTTGCCTATTTGATTGTGGGTGATAACTAAGTGCTAATTTGTGCTTGACATCATATTTAGCCAAAAGGGAGTTGAACGGCTTGTTACAGAAATGTGTGCATTCATCACTTACAATTGCCTAGGCGTGCCAAATCGAGTGAAGATATTTTTTTGTAGAAATCTCAAAACCACCTTTGCATCATTTGTTGGTGTGGCAATGGCTTCAACCCATTTAGATACATAGTCTACTGTAAGGAGAATGTATACCTGACCAAAAGAAGGTGGAAATGGACCCATGAAGTCTATACCCCACACATCAAATAACCCCACCTTAAGCATACTAGTTAATGGTAGCTCATGATGCCTTGAAATGTTTTCAGTACGCTGTCAACGGTCACATGTCTTCACAAAAGTATAGCAGTCCTTTAATAGATTTGGCCAATAGAAACTAGATTGCAATACTTTTCCAGCAGTGCGAGTAGGACCGAAATGACCTCCATAAGGTGAGGAATGGCAACGCTGCATGATTGATTGTGTTTCTTCCACAGGGACACACCGCCTAATTATTCTGTTAGCATACCTCTTGAACAATATTGAGTCATCCCACATATATGACTTGACATCTTGTAAGAGTTTCTTCTTTTGATGGAAGGTTAAATCAAGTGGCAATCTTCCAGATACCAAATAATTAACAAAATCAGCATACCATGGGATCCTTGTTGATACAGCTAGCAAGATCTCGTTAGGGAAAGTTTCTCGAATTTGACTGTCATCCACCATCTTCTCATTCTCTAACCATGAGAGATGGTCTGCAACGATATTCTCACTGCCTTTCTTATCCCGAATCTCTACATCAAATTCCTGTAGTAGCAATATCCATCGAATTAGGTGTGGCTTGTCATCCTTATTTTCAAAGAGATATCGGATTGCAGTATGGTCTGTGTGAATGATCACGTTGGTGCCAATGAGGTAGGATCTGAATTTGTCACATGCAAACACTACTGCTAGCATTTTCTTCTCTATTGTGGTGTAATTTAGTTGAGCTCCATTAAGGGTTTTACTGGTATAGTGGATTGAACGAAAAATCTAATCATGCCTTTGTCCCAAAACCATCCCTACTGTGTAGTCACTAGTATCACACATAACCTCAAATGGCTGATCCCAATCTGACACTACCATCACTGGAGCAGTGACCAATTTTGCCTTTATGGTTTCAAATGCCCTTAAGTAGTCTTCATTAAATACAAATGTTGTGTCCTTCTCCAACAGGTTGCATAGGTGTTTAGCTACTTTTGAAAAGTCTTTGATGAACCTACTATAGAATTTAGCATGTCCCAAGAAACTTCGAATGCCTTTGACATTAGTGGGTGGTGGTAGCTTTGCAATTGTATCAATTTTTGCTCTGTCAACATCAAGTCCCCTCGCTGAAACATGGTACCCTAGCACAATTCCTTCTTGTACTATGAAGTGGCACTTTTCTGAGTTAAGAACCAAGTTCTTTTCCTCACAGCGTTGTAACACCAAGGAGAGATTGTGACGGCAGTTAAGAAGTACCAAACATCGAAAAGTCATCCATAAATACCTCCATAATGTCCTCAACCATGTTTGTAAAGATCGTCATCATACATCTCTGAAAAGGTGGTCGGTGCATCGTATAACCCGAATGGCATCCGTCTGTAGGCAAAAGTTCCATAACGACAGGTGAGTGTTGTCTTTTCTTGATCTTGTGGTGCTATAGCAATCTAAATGTAGTTCGAATACCCGTCAAGAAAACAATAGAGTAGCCCGCTAATCTGTCTAACATTTAATCAATGAAAGGGAGTGTGAAATGATCCTTTCTAATTGCCTTGTTCAGCTTCCTATAATCAATGTACACCCTCCAACTGGTTAATGTTCTTGTTGGAATTAGCTCATTGTTGTCGTTCTTAACCACTTTTATCCCTCCTTTCTTTGGTACCACTTGCACTGGGCTGACCCATTCACTGTTTGAAATGGCAAATATGATCCCTGCCTTCAATAGCTTTAGTATCTCCGCTCGAACCACTTCTTTCATTGCTGGTTTAACCTTTTCTAATGTTCAATGGATAGTTTGTAGGAATCTTCCATGAGGATTTTATGCATGCAGATTGTAGGACTTATTCCCTTGATGTCAGCTATCGACCATCCTAAACCAGTATTGTGGTCCCTTAACACTTTCAATAGTCTATCCTCTTCGTCCGTGGTGAGTGATGAAGAAATGATCACTGGAAATGTAGAATTGTCCCCCAGAAAATGCATAGCGGAGGTGATTTGGTAATTGCTTTAGTTTAATCTTACTGTTTTCATTATTTTCTTTGTCATCTGATTCCTCTGATTACTGAATATCTTCACATTGTGACGGGTTGTCCTCAACTGGTGTAGACTCTAGAGCCAATATGCAATCAACCAAGTCTTTGCTCCCTGAATATTCTCCAGAAGTGCTGATGTCATCCTTTGTTGCACTAAACATCATACATTGCTCCAGGGGATCCTCAATGTATAATTTCTCATCTCTTACAGCAGAATCAATGGAGTCAATCCTTTGGCAAGTGTCAGTGTTGTCCGAGTACTTCATTGCTTGGTAGATGTTGAACCTCACCTCTTCTTGATTCACTCTCAATGTCAAATGTCCTTGCACATCAATTAATGCCCTTCCAGTTGCTAAAAATGGCCTGCCTAAAATCAGTGGGATTTCCTGATCTTCTTCCATATCTGATACCACAAAATCAACTGGAAAGATGAATTTATCGACCTTTACTAACACGTCTTCAATAATTTCTCGTGGGTATGTAAGGGACTTATCAGCCAGTTGTAGGGTCACTGTTGTTGGCTTAACTTTCTCGAGGCCTAACTTCTTGAATACTGATAACGACATTAGGTTGATGCTTGCTCTAAGATCACAGAGGGCCTTATCAAAAGAAGAGCTTCCAATGGTGCATGAAATAGTGAAACTGTCTGGATCTTTTCTCTTCCGAGGAAGTTTCTTTTGAAGGATAGCGTTGCATTCTTCTGTTAATTTTACTGTTTCATGTTCCTCCAATTTTCGCTTTTTTGACATCACCTTCTTCATAAACTTGTGTAGTTTGACATTTGTTTCAAAGCATCTACAAAAGGAATATTAATGTGAGTTCTCTTGAAAATTTCTAAAAATTTTGCAAATTGATCATCAAATTTTTTCTTTTGAAAACACTGTGGAAATGAAAGTGGTGGTGTGAGAATTGGTAGGTTGTTAGGGAAGGATATGGAATAAGGTCTGTGAGCCTTATTTGTTCCTTTGGCCTGTTTTTCTTACTCTACTACCACTTGTTCTTTCTCTTTGTCAGGTGTGGGATTGCTCTCTTCGGTGGGTTCACTTTCTCCAACTTGCTTGTCACTCCTTAATACGACGGCCTTATAGTGCTCCTTTGGGTTGACTTCTGTATCACTTAGAAATTTTCCTTGTTGCTGAGACTTCATTGAGGTAGCCAACTGACCAATTTGCACTTCAAGATTCTTCATTGTGGCTCCCATGTTGGACACATGTGTTTCAATATTATCCAACCATGATTCATCTTTTTTGAAGCGTGATCTTGTCTCAGAACTGAATGTCCCAAGGATGTCTTCCAAAAATGGTTTTCCTTCAGAATTCTAAGTGTTGAATCTAGGTGGAGGTTGAAGTGTGTTTCTATTGTTGCCATATGACAAGTTTTGGTGATTCATCGGCCTTGGATTATAGTGATTAGCCTGGTAATTTCCTCTTTGATTGTAGTTTCTGCTGTTGACATATTGGGTCTGCTCGTTTGCAATATCTATCTCTTTGTGTGATGAAGAAGCACTTATGATTGAATCTGCCTTCTGTTGATTCTCTTAAGTTGTAAGCATGACTATTTGATTTGTGAGTGATGTAACCTGAGCTGCTAGTGCTATGATGGGATCCACTTCATGAAGTCCTGTTACTTTCTTTACGTTTGATCTCTCACTTGGCCATTGGTAACTGTTGGTGGCTATGTTATCCAATAAAGCATAGACAACCTCTACCGTTTTAGCCATTAAAATGCCTCCCGTAGCTGCATCTACCATAGTCTTCGTCTGCCCATTTAACCCATTATAGAATATCTCAATCTGAACCCATTTTTGGAAACC